CTGCCATTAGAACTTTGTTCTTGAGTTATGATTATTTTAATGAATTTTCAGTCTATTGCAAAACATTACAAGGAAAGTTGAATAAAAAAAAACATTTACACGGAAATAGATTTCATAATCATCAATAATACTCTGTAAGTTTTAGCAAAAACGGATAGTTTCTCCTCAAGATATTGTTTACTCAAAGAACAAAAAGGATTTGTTCGAACCTTTTCCAAGCAATCAGCAGTGTTACAACTCTGTTATCTAGAGGTAGAAGAGCCATTTTTGATTGGTGAAACTTGCAGAATATGATTAAAGACTATAAAATCTATTTTTAGATAAAATTTCTTTATTCAGTTTTTCTCGTAATATCTTGCAATAGATTGAGAATTTAGTACAATGAACATAACTCAAGAAGAAAGTGTTAATGGCAACTATGCATTTATCTAAACAATGAAGTCTAACAATCACATAAAAATGTGCAGGATTACTTTACCCTTCTAGGCAGATTCAGGGTAAGAAAAAAGTTTACTCTGCACATCTCTAGATGAAATTTAAATGCTATTTTCTTCATTATGTGAATTTTGAAAATTATCATACGAAAAAAAAAAAGAAGGACGTTCAAAACTACGTTTGTAATCTTGATGTTACATATTTCGGTATATAGACTTTAAAGTTTATTTTGTTTTTTAGTCTTTACGAAAATATGAAGAATGTCATGAATCAGCACGTCGTGCTAAAGAAAGTTATGAAAAAGCTCATGAAGATCTAGATTTATCGCGTGCACAATTAGAAAAAGCTCGTGATACAATGACATCAAAATCAAAAATATGTGATGATGCACATACAAATTATTCTTCTCATGTATCTTTATTTAATGATACACAACGTTTATTTTATGAAAGACAATTACCAAGTATTTTAACAGATTTACAACAATTAGATGGTAAACGTTCTGATGAACTTAAAGATGTTTATATTAAATTTATTCAATCACATGCTGAAGTTTTACCACGTATACAACGATGTTTAGATGAAATGACTAAACAAACAGAACAATTAAATGCTAATACAGATGCACAAGTTGTTATTGAAGAATATAAATCTGGTTATACAATACCAGATGATGAAAAAGAAGTAAATAATTAATTTAATTATATTATTAATCAATTATTTATTTATTTCAATTATTATCTAGATTGATTTAAATGCTAGTGATCTTCCATCATTATTATTAAATGGAAATAATAGTGGACAAGATCAACAAATATATAATATAACATTACTTAATCATCAATATACTCCAGGAGAATTAGCAAGATCAAATACATTAAGAAGTTCGGGTAGTGATCATAGTAGTCAAAATGGTGTAGCAACAATATATGCAGTAGGTAATGCTAGTGGTCATGTAAATGGTACACAAACATTAATGACAACACCAGCAATGGGTTCAAGAAAAACTGGAGGAAATAAAAGTAGTGGAACAGCAAGTACAATTAGAAAAATATTTGGAAGTTCATCACATAGAAAAGTAAGTAAAGAAAAATCATTAATAAAAAATAAAAAAAGAATCTATTATTATATTGACTTGTAAAATATATATATTATCTATTTATTTATTTTTATTATAGACAATATTGGTAAGTAGAAAAAAAAACATGTTTTCAATGTAGTTTATAATTGTGTTTGTAGCATGGAAAGAGGAAAGAAAAACACTTAAATGTATTTTGTAGTAAAATATGCTTTATGTGACTGAAAGATTTCTTAAATTTGCAAAGATCACATTTTTAATTAATCCATATAAAAATAAATTCCTTATTATTTTTTTGACATTGATATTTTCTTTTCTAGCCTTCAAATAATGGTAATTCAAATGTAACAACAACCAATACACCATATGGTACATTACCACCAGCACAACGTTTAAAAAAATTTCAAGAACAAATTGTAAATTGTAAAAGTGAATTAGAAAAAAAACAAAAAGCCAAGTAAATATATATAATTAAAACTTTTATTTTATTTTTGTGTATTCATGAAAAATTTCTTGTTGTATTTTTATAGAGAAGGTTTAACAAAAATGAAACTTGTTTTTCAAGAAAATCCAAAATTTGGTGATGAACAAGATGTTACACAACAAATTATTTCAATTGATGATCATATTGAAAAATTATTAGCTGAAATAAAACGATTTGAAGTAATCAAAAAAATAAAAACTTGTTCATAGACGAAAATTTCTTCTTTTTATTTCAGTCGTACATAGCTGAAATCGAACGAACACGAGCTCCAACATTATCTGAATATGATTCAACATCTCATTTACGAACAAATTATGGTTCTGATCAATCAATAAGTAATAATAATAATAATTCACAACCTGGTACACCAGCACAAAATCGAAGGTAATAAAAATAGAAACAAAAAAAAAAGGAAAGATTTTCCTTAGACATTTTTTCACTATTATGTGATGTTACTTTTATCTCATAAATAAACCTTATTAGTTTCCTCTATTTTCGTCATCATTATTCACCGCAATATAATAATAGATTGATAAATATCAATCGACGTTGGTCGACCACGGTTTGGTTAGCGAATAAACATTACATTATACCTTATGTAGCAAAAAGAAATTTTCTTAAACACAAAATTCTCTTTAAAAAAAAAATCTAAAAGCATGAAGATTCACAAAACAAAAACTCCATTCCTCTTCTTCTTCTTCTTATAGTAATTCTGAATACAATGTATATTACGCTATGGAACCCATATATCATATTTATCAACCGTTGAGGTTGGTTATATTAATCGTATTCTAGCATGTCAACTTCTTCTGCTTATTTATATAAAAGAAAAAAGAAAATTTTCGTTATTTAATGAAATAATTTATTTCTTATTTTAGTCCACCAGACATTCCTGAACATGTAACATCTTCACATGATTATCATCGATTACCATCAGTAACATCAATGACATTACATCAAAATGATACAACAAAACTATCAACACATACTTTAAACAATGATGAACATAATGGATCATTTGAAGATGAAGATATTGATGATGAACAATTACATTCTGTTGATAATACGGATAGTCAATGTCAACAACAATTCAATGGTGGAACAATTCTTAAAGCTTATGCACTCTATGATTTTAATGGTAAGAAAAAGTTTGTCAATGCAACTTCTTTGAGACTAAAATGTGAAATTCGTACATATTCGTTAGCTTTATTATACTAATAGAAAATATGTAAAATGAAAAATATCTATCAAACTATAACAGAAATTTTTTCTTTTTCTACTAACGTTCTATTTTTTTTTCTTTTGTTCGCCTTGTTGCTATTCGTTCGTTGTTATTAATTTATCATTATTAGTATTCTAACTATTCATTTAACTGACAAATAAGTCTGTTATACATATCTACAGCAGATCTCAACACACTATTACTTATCTTGATAAACTCAGAAATACTGATATTGGTTATATCTTAAGGTTATCAGTTGATCAGTTTACTTTTTCTTTATGTTGATTATATGATGATTATGACAAATCAATGCATCACTACTCATCATCCTTTCTAGAATTATCTAAGTCTAATGTCGTTCAGCACCTTTTTTTCTATTGCTAAGAAACTTATTATTCTCGATTGCTATGGAAACGTAATCAATGAACGTTGACTTTCCTCCTCCACATGTTGCTAGGGACAACATTATCTCCGTTGCTATAAGGATAGGTCTAAAAACCACAAAGATAGGATTTTTAAAGTAAATAATAGAAGAAAAAAATTTATTCTACTTAATAAGTGTTTGTCATTCGATATAGACTGTAGTTTGTTTACTTTCATAGACAAGTACTGAAACAAAATCTTTTAAATTATTTTTTTTGGTTCAATAAAGTCTTCTTCAATTACTCAATAATTAAAATGACCTTATTTCTTTTCTGAGAAATAATAATTACAATAAAATTCTATGTTTTTTTTTTCTCGATCTTTTCAGGTCATGGCATCAATGGTTGTCAATATGTAAATGCAGCATCAATATATGTTGGTGAATATGTCGATATATTAGAAGATGATCAAGGTGATGGATGGACACGTATACAAAAACATGATGGTTCAAGTGGTTTTGTTCCATCATCGTATCTTCGTATTGATTCTCAACAACATACCACATCATCACATCAAGTTGATTCCGGCCGTTTTTGAAAAAATATCTTTCTTTTTTTTTTCGTATCTTTCGTTCTTTTTTTTCCTACATATATATATATATACACATACACACATACATGCTGCTCATTTATGTATACCAGTTGACTAAAAACAAAAAAAAAAAAAAACTTAATATATATTATTGTATGTGTGCTCAATTTTTGTTTGTTTGTTTATTTACTGTTCTATTTGATAAACTAGCCCGTTCCCCTAGTCAAATATTGTTCAGAAATATTGAAAGATAAATTTAAAACAGATGAATGTTTTCTCTTTAAAGGGCTGTCAGATACCTCGACATTATACGTACAGAATGAGCGAATGCATTTTTTCTTCTTGTACATGTTTATTGCTATTTATATATATATATATATACATAATATATATGTTTTGATGTTTTTTTGTCATCTTAAATGAACAGTAAAAGAATAAGACAAGCATAAAATCGAATAAAAAAAAAGCTTTATGTTCACTTCTTTCTTTTTTTTTTGTTTTGTGTTTCCTATGTAACATCAGATTGAGTATTAGAATTAGATATATATAGATATATATATATATATTAATTATAAATCAGAATAGTTTTGTCTATGTGCGTGTATATCTATTGTATCTTCTTTATTCATTTATTATCTATTTCTGTTCTGTATACACATTTATATAATCTCTTGTTCATTCTTCTTTTATCTTGAATCAAAAGAAAAAAAACAAAAAACTTCAACTAACAAATGATAAAATGATTTAAATTCAAACATTCTTTTTTTTTCTTTTTTGTTTATAGATTTTCTTTTTCTGTCAAAGAGAATTAAACATAAAAAATCATCATGTTTAATTCTGGTTCAACATCAACACCGAGTAATACAAGTCTTTTTGCAACATTCACACCTGTAAATCCAAATCGAACAACAACTAGTTCATTATTTGGTAATACAACAATAACACAACCTAATACATTGACATCAACACCATTTGCATCAACAAGTTTATTTGGTAATAAAATTAAGGATGTGTAGAAAAATAGATTTCTAGAAGACAACTCTTCAGAAAAATTTGAAATTTTCAAAGCAAGTAGATCGAGCAAAAGTTTTCATCTTGGATGCTGTCTTTCATGAGATACTGGAATTACAATAGTCCCTTCCTTTCTTGGAGATGCTATGTTCGATCGAGCTAAAAAATTTTTACAGGCATTAGACACTGTTTGAAGTGATTTTTTGTTCTTTAAATAAAAGGATCAAAATATTGAAAGGTACCCTAAAAAATGCATGTTTTTTTGTAAAGTGCTACTAACAACCAACAGAACAATATTTTTTGAAATAAAAACAACTACCTATCCCAAACAGTGAATAGTATATGTAACAAAAGTTTCGACTCTATCAAACGTACTAGACCAGAGAAACGAGGGTGTTTCTGCACGTCTTTTTCATGAAAAGGTAGATTTGAGGAAAAATGTGAAAAAACTCTAGTCAAACTTTGTTTTTTCATGTTCATAAAGTTCTTGAATATCTTGAGTAAGAAAGTTATATGATATGGATAAATCTTGAAACAAGACTTGTGCGCTTTTGGCAAACTCCGATACTTGAATTTCTTATTTCATCATTTAACATTCTTATCCATGCACGGGTAAATGTAATCAAAAACGAAGTCTTCTATGGAGTACATTACGAGTTGCAAGGATTAATAACAAAAGTCCGCCCTCCATCGTAAGCTATCGATAATAATACTCCATTGGATTTGATCATTCATCACAACTATGAAAACGATATCTGTCATGCGTGAAACTAACTTTAATTATATGTTATACGTTCCTTTCGTTTTTTTCTCTTCGATTTTACGTTCAAAATGATTCGATCCATCATAACTTAAATAACAAAGTCTATCACGAGCGCAAATCAAAAAAGGAAATTCAATAGCAAGGAATATTCTTTCATCTTGAGCAGAAAAATTGTTATATTATTTTATTCCAGTTGATTATTTTCAAGTGTGCTTATTTGTATGATTTTCATGAGTTCAACATATGTCAGCTCCTTTAAATGTACATATAACTCATGCAAACATTCATATATTTGTCTATGAAAAGAAAGTCATGTAATATGAACACATCTTGAGATTTGTGCATGTCAAACACATGAAAAAAAAAGTTCGACTAAGAAAGTAAAATCCGTCATAGAAAGTGATTCATTAAATGACTACATATTATAATTGGAAATAAATCGAATATTTCATATGTTTGTCTTTCAGGAGCAGCAACTCCTCCGACAACAACTCTTCAAGTTCCATCAACTGGGACAGGTACAATACATAGATTTGATGCTGTTCTTGGTGTAGATAAAATAAATAAAAATGGTATTCAAACACAAATTCGTACAAAAATTTTCAATTTATGTGCTATGCCAACTTATGAAAAGAAGTCCACGGAGGTTAATTAAATAATATATATATATATATATTTTTTTTTAAATATTTTTTATTCTTCTTTTTTTTTTTGTCCAGGAACTTCGATTAGAAGATTATCTAGATAATCGAAAATTTCCATCACCAACTACAAGTCCATTTCCATCAGCATCATCTACAACATCTCTATTTGGTGGACCAACAACAACAAATCGTAAATTTTTGACAAAAAAAATAGAAAATTTTAGTTAAATAATAATTTTTTTTAATAATAATAAATAGCTGCAACGAATACAAGTATTTTTGGTACAAATACGACAACAACATCATCACCATTAACTGCAACTTTATTTGGAAATAAGCCAGCTATATCCACAGCATCAACATTAGTATGTCGACAAAAAAAAAGAGAAAACATTTCTACAATATCATTTTTATATATTATTTAGCCATTTTCATTCGGTGCTCCAACCACAACAACACCAGCACCATTTTCATTTGGTGCATCGACAACAACTACATCAAATCCTGTAAATTTTTATAAATCTTATTAACTAAAAAAAAAAAAAGAAAAAGCTAATATCAAAATTTTATTTTTCAGACTGCTCCATTTGGTAATACAGTACCTACACCTGGAACTATAACATCAACGTCACCATTTGCATTCGGAGGCACTAGTCAAGCACCAACCACAACAACTATACCAGCTTTTAGTTTTGGTATTATTTTAGTTTTAATAAAGAAACAGAAAAAAAAAACACGATTCTATTATTTTTCAAATTAATTCTTTTTTTCTCAGGTAATACTACTTCATTATTTCCAGCAGCTAATACAACAACAGCTGGTTCATCATTTGGTTTTCCAACAGCAAAACCAACAACAAGTACATTTTCATTTACTCCAACAACAGCAACATCAATAGCGCCATCATTTAGTCTTTTTCCAACAGCAACAACTGCTGCTCGTATGATTGCTTTTTTTGTTTGATATAGAATGAAAAATATTTCCTAGTAAAATTTGATTTCTTATAGCTACATTATTTACAACATCAAATCAACCAGTAACAACATTAAATGTAATAAATACACAATCATCTGTTGATACACGAACTCATTTACAATTATTTCAAACAATGCTTAATATACAACCATTTAATAGTGAACTTGGCTTTCTTGCACGAAATATAAAAGTAATAATTATATTTTATTATGATTCTATTCAATCTAGAATAAAGATAGATTTTATATCGATCAAAAATAAAATCATTATTTGTCCTTAATAAATTATATTATTTCATTTTATTAATATATCTTAACATATAAATTTTTAATTGACTGATAAAAATCTACAAAAACTAAGTTTGTTCGATTCAAAATTTATAAAGAGAATATTTGTCGTTGTCGGGATATAGTTAATGTTATAAAGACTAAAATTTTTCTTTTTATTTACAAATTATCATTCTTAGATTATCACTTAAAGATTGAAATAGTATTATTAAATTATTATCTTTCGTTTATATCGAAATTATTACACTTCTCTTTTGTCGATCTTATTCAATGTAGATAGTATGCAAATGAATACTTAGAGACTTATTTTCGGGAAATTTTTAACAGTGTCAAAAGTTGCTTCTTTTTCAGTTTGGTTTTATATAATGAAGAAAAATTGGTTTAATATTTTGTTTATGATATTGGAAGGTGTAACGTTTTTGTCATTTCTACATGAATTAATTAGGATCCATAAGTTAGATTTTCTTCATATCTGATTTAGCTAGTATATCATTAGGTATTTTTTTGATAGATAAAAGTGCCTGCATGGGATTAGGTTTTTTACTATGACAATTTTGAAATTTCATAGTTGGATGATTCAAAGACTATGATGAAAACATATTTTTAGTTCCTAGTTATGAGAATAATATTTAAATGGTAATTTTGTAAAAAACAAATTAAAGAAAATATTGTTTTTGTTATAATGTTAATTAGATCTCGGCAATGGAGAGTTAATACTTTTAGGATTTTCTTAGTCTCATTGCAACCTATTGATACCTAAAAGATGAAGGCGAAAATCCAGATTTATACGGATTACTTTCTTCATTAATAAATTCTCATATTTTGAACATGATTTCAATTTGATAAATCAATACTAGTATCAATATTGAAATTGAAAATCTCCTTTTTATGATTATCATTAGAGCATAACTTATAAACACATAATTTTGATTCTTAAATCCATTATTGTTAAAGAACAACAATACTACAACATTCAGAGCTGAACTCTTGTGATCCAACATGATGAGGATTGTTTTAGCTTTGTCTCATTCATTTCTCTTGCATATCAGAATCTAACGAGGAAAGATTTTCAACTGTCGGATGCCGATCGAGCTCTTCCTTTGTTCATATTGAACGGTTCGAAGCAGCCAAAAGTAAACAAGAAGAATCATCAGATAATATAACTCATAAAATCTCTTCAAATCTTAGAATCAACTATATCTTTTTCTATTAACGATTGTATAGAATTTTAAATAATTAAGATTTTTCTATTCATTTAGCCAAATATTGGTCTTGATCGAGCTCGAATTCGTACTGTGCCTGATTCTAGCAATAGTCATCCATTAAACAATGTATTTTCTCCTCTTCTTGCAAAACCATCTGTTCTTGCATCAAGTACATCAACACCACCATCAACATTAGCTAATCCATTACCAAATCATTCACATACATTACCATCTGTTTTATTACCATCATCGACAACAAATACATCAATGATTTTATTTGGTAAACGTAAATTAGCTGATTCATTTCTTGATGATGATGATGATAATTCATTAATGATGGATGATGGACCATCATTATCAATTAATAAAATATCTAAAACAAATGTTCTTAAACGACCACGTATACTTGATATGAATAAAATTCGTTCAGTTGTACTTGGAGGTGGTGGAACAGGAGGAGGAGGAGGAGGAGGAGGAGGAGGAGGAGGAGTAAATAATGAAATTTTAACAAAAGAAGAAAATTATTCTGATACATTTATTGTTAAATCAACATCAGATAATTTATCTGGATGGAAGAAATTTTCAACTTATGATGCATATTTAGCATCAAAAAAACAACAAATTGAAAATATAAAAATATCTGATGATGATGATAATATTAATAATAATGATAAACAAATAAATTTTAATGAAAATAAATTTGAACGAGAACGTGCTTTTCGTTTACCTAAATTAACACATGATGATTATTATACAAAACCCACAATTGATGAATTACGTAATTATTTTAATGAAAAAGGACAATGTTTAGTTAAAGAATTTACTGTTGGACGAGAACATTATGGTTCTGTGACATTTCAAGGTTCAAAAATCAATTTAGCTGGTCTTGATCTTAATCAATTAAGTAAATAAATTAGAAATTAAAAAAAATATATATATATTTTTTTGTATTGCATTTTTTTTTGTGTTACAGTTGAAATTGGTCGTAGACAAATAACTGTTTATCCTGATGATAATAATAAACCAGCTGAAGGTGAAGAATTAAATTGTCAAGCAATAATATCTTTATTAGGTGTTTATCCAATTGATCGTTCAATATCAAATAGTGGCGAAGAAGTAACTGATCCTGATAGATTAATTGAAATGAATTATGGAAATTATTTACGTGATATGACTAAAAAATTTCATGGACAATTTCTTGATTATGATGTTTATACAGGAACATGGACATTCAAAGTAATAAAAAAAAATGAATATTAATATTAATAGATTTTTAATTAAAATATATTTATTATTTTAGGTTGAACATTTCTAATTGTTTCGTTTGTTTCTTTTCTTTATGTTTTTTTGGCCTATGGTCAAGATTTGTTTATTGTCGAAAATAAAAAAAAAAAATGTGTGATCATATCTTCTTCTATTCCGATACATGACTCTTCTCTTTTTTTCTACAGTGTTTGTCTATCTGTTGATATATATTATGTGCGTATACTTGTATTACATGTGAAATGAAGATAATAACTGAGAAAAAAAATTTTTTTTTTTTTCTTTTTCTTCTTCTTCTTCTGTTCAGATATTTCTTTCTTTCATGTTTTTTCTTCTGGCTCTCTTTGATTAAATAAAAATGAAAACAAATCTCTAATGAATAAAAAATTAAGTTATAATTCTGAATATACATATTGAAATAAATTAACGACATCTGGAATATATTTTTATATTGGATAATTTGTTAGCAATTAAAGAAATAGTATTTTATGCATATATATGTATTCTGTTTGAATCGATGTGTTTTGTTATCTTCGTAATATATTGGATAGAAACAAAGATAGATTTTATATTTTGAATTTTATTTTAGAGACATCAATGTAATAAGATGTCGTATAATTTACCAGAAAATGATCCATTTCTTAAAAAACAAACTATTCGAGCACGAAAAAAAAGATTACAAGAATCATCACGTCTTGGATATAAAAATCTACATCAAGAACTTGAACCTTTACCATTATTGAAAGGTATTTTCATGATTTTATTACAAGTTTGATCGGTTTATACAGATTCTGATTGATTCAAGTAGATATGATGTTCAATTGAACGTAGCCTCTGGTTCGAAAATAAATATCACATCATGTTTGTATCGTCTTTCTCCTGATATATTGATGATTTGATCTTTTGTACTAAATAGCAATACTCAAGTAAACCGTAGAGCACTAATCCTTTAACGTTAAAGAAACGTATGTATCTGATATCAATGAAGCCAAGATTGTTTATTTTTCGTACTGTATTTCATTCCAACATTTTTGAACGTTTCACAAAAAAAAATCCGAATAAAAATAGATAATGAAATTAAATCCCTTTGTTTTTTTTTTCAAGACAAACAATATATTCATTGTTAATATTATACTAATAGAAATATGACCTTTAATCATTCGATGAAGAAGAAATGATTCTCGCATGTTTTATTAATAAATACAATTGGATTCAAATTTCAGAAATAACTAAAATTTATTTTTTATCATTATGATATTAATTAGAATTTTTTGTTATTATTATTCTCTAGAAACTTCAATTGATCAACAAGAAAAATTATTTATTGAAAAATTAAAACAATGTTGTGTTCTATTTGATTTTTCGGATTGTGTAATCGATCTTAAAAGTAAAGAAATAAAACGTGCTTGTCTAAATGAAATTGTCGATTATATAACAGTAACAAAAAATTGTTTAACAGAAAATGTTTATCCAGAAGTGATGAAAATGGTTTGTTACTTTATTTATTTATTGTAATAGAAAAATCAATTTTTCTTAATAATTATTTTGTAGGTATCAACAAATCTTTTTCGTGTATTACCACCAATAGGTCCAGATAGTTTATCTGATGAAATAGGTGTTGAAGATGAAGAACCAACATTCGAAGCTACATGGCCACATACACAAATAGTTTATGAATTTTTTTTACGTTTTTTGGAATCACATGATTTTCAACCAAATATAGCAAAAAAAAGTATTGATCAAAAATTTGTTTTACAAGTAAACAAAAAGAGAAAAGATGAATAGACAAAAAAAAGATTTTATTTGAATTGATCTTTTTTTTTGTTTTTTGTTTTTTTAGTTATTGGAATTATTTGATAGTGAAGATCCACGTGAAAGAGATTTTTTAAAGACAATTCTTCATCGAATTTATGGAAAATTTCTTGGTTTAAGAGCATTTACAAGAAAACAATTGAATAATATATTCTTAAGGTTTGTATGCTTATTAATCAGATTATTTTAATTAAAATATAAATTATTATACGTAACTAGTCAACATCAATTATGCGTATTTTCTTGATTTTATATCCAATAGATATTATCAAAAAAGATACAACTAAGAATAAAAATTTGATCTTTTTGAGAATCAATTTGTTTCGTTATAGATTTCTATATGTGAAAGATCGCTCATTAATTGTTCAACTTAAGTTGAGGAATAAGGTATAACAGAAAAAAATCCAATTGATATTGAACGAAGAACTAATAGAAGGGTAAAAATACCAAATATTATATTTCTAATTTTTAATCAATAGTTTAAGTAATTTAGCGGTTTAGAAAGTTCTTATGAGAGAACATTCTTTAACTATCAAATCGCTTTTCGCTTGAGAATATTACTATTCGATCGGTCATGATGGGTAGTAATAAAAAAAAAATTTGTTTTGATTTGATTTTTCGGTTCTCGATTTTTGTCTTATGAGATTAGAATCACGAAAAACCTGGATGGTTTGAATTCTGAGTTGAAATTTTATTTATAGATAAGTCTTATAGTCACTAGAAATATGATGATGTTTTGAGCTAGAACGAAGGAATTCTCGTTAAGATATTGACATTTTAAAGAAACCTCTGTTTTGGATTGTATTTCAAAATAAAGACATGTCTATGGCAAGCTAATATCTTGATACGAGCACAGTTGTTCTAGCTTAAATTTTTGATTGTTTCTAGTTATCGCTATAACGTTCATCTATAGACACAATTGCAGTTCGATATTCAATTATCCAGATTGCTGAGCTATTCTATACTCATAGAGTGAAATTGAGTAAAACACCCATAATTCGACAAGAGAATATCGGCAAACCAAATAAAAACAGGTTCTTTTCACTATTTATTCTGACTGATCACATGGTAACAGCCTTAAGCGAAACGTAATTTGATAGTAGAAAATATTTCCTCGTTAGAATATTCTTTACATGAAATTTGATATTATAAATGAACATTTTCACAAACATGATCAAGAGAAATTGATTATCGAGTCTATGATTTGAATCATTTAATCATCAAATAATAGAATTTCTTTTTTTTGATTTATAAAATTAAATTAAATTAGTAATCAATGTATGCTTTCTCGAAGGCTTACTACAGTTCTAATGATAGTTTAGATGTTTGTTTAAACGCTATTTTTTATTATTATTAAGATTTGTCTACGAATATGAACGATTCAATGGTATTGCTGAACTACTGGAAATACTTGGAAGGTATTCTATTTTGAAAAAGATAAAAATATATATTTTTAAAGAAATTTATATTATACATATATTTATATATTTAGTATAATTAATGGTTTTGCTATACCATTAAAAGAAGAACATAAAGTATTTCTTGCACGAATACTTATACCATTACATAAAGTTCATTCATTAAGTTTATTTCATCCACAAGTAAATGAAATATTTGTTCTAATTGATTTCTATTTGTTGTTGTTGTTGTTTTTTTTTTAAATTTTTTATAGTTAACGTACTGTATTATACAATTTATTGAAAAAGAATCTTCATTAGGTGAACTTATAATAAAAGGTTTACTTAAATATTGGCCAAAAACATGTTCAACTAAAGAAGTATAAAGAAGAATTTTTCTTTTCTTTTAAATACGTTTTCTTTATTTTTGTTTTTCTTAATCATAATTGATGATTCTTTTAGATATTATTTGTTAATGAACTTGAAGAAATTCTTGATATAATCGATTCAAAAACATTTCGAACTATTAGTATACCACTTTTTCAACAAATTACACGATCAGCTACATCATCACATTTTCAAGTAAATTAATTTATGTTAAATTTTATGATTAACAATATTTATTCATTTATATAAAAACATTAATTACATGAAAATGAGAAGTCTTTTTAGAAGTTACAATATTAACTTAAATTAATTCTGTTATATAGAAGTAACCAGTCAATTAGGATTACACATATGTAATATTTCTATGTCAACACAATAAGTTGCTTTCTATTATGTAGATATTTTCATATAAATTGTAATTACTGAATATTTCATTTTATTCAATGTATTACAGGATGTGAGAGTTCTATTTAAAATCATGAAATTGATATAGAACTTTGACTAATGAGAGAATGTTCTTAGATGTTAATTTACTAATTTTTTGTGACATTTTTTAAAAGGACGCCACGGTCTCTGTGAGGATCACTTAGAAAATTAATTTCCGAATTTCGATTTGAAACTTTCAAAATTTCAGTTTTTTTGAGTTCTTTCTATTCCTAGATATGATTCAGTGTTTTATCTAGATTTTCTCTTTCAGAAGGACGATTTAAAATTCCAGAAGGATGAACATCTATTTTTTAGAGCACAAACTTATAGTACGTAGTACAATAACCACAAACTCAATCTTTCGAGGAGCGTCACTCTTCCACTGGATAAAGTACTGATATGATCATTTGAAAAAGTTTTTGTTTTTCATATTTATTAGAACACAAAATATTTCATTTTCATATTTTACGGTAGAAACAACCAATAAATTTGAGATGATTACAATAAACTAGTCTCATTAAGATATCTGTCTGTGTGAAATTTTAAGTCACTATTAGAAAGTTAATTTATCAAGTGATTCTCACATAGGCTAAAGCATTGTGCTAAAAAATGTCGTAAAAATTAAATATCTCGTTAGAAATAAAATCAAGATGCAAACTATATTCAAGATATTCAGTGCTTAAAAGGGTCTACATAATACACATGATTTTAATTCGAATTTCGAATTAACACCTGGTAACGTTCCCTTGTAACACATCTTTGCTAAAAAAAATTCGATATGAATCAGATATTCAATAATCTTATCTTATATCTTTATTAATAGATCATTAATCATTTTTTAATCAATGAAAAAAAAGTTTTTTTTTTTTTGTCCGAATTTTGTTGATAGTCTTAAAATACAAAACATTTGATTCATAAGAAAAGAAAAAAAAAACAACAAATTGCAATTTTTTTTTAGGTAGCTGAAAGATCATTAGCAATATGGTCAAATGAATATATTGTGCAATTAGTTGAAGAAAATCTTGAAGAA